GCGGAGACAGAGAGAGAGAGAGAGAGAGAGAGAGAGAGAGAGAGAGAGACCAATCTAACTAACTGCGTGGACCCTGCCCTTCCCCCGACATCTGAGAAATAATATTTTTGGTTAGCGGCAGACAGGTATGCAAAGTGTGACACACACACAACAGGTGAGTCCAAATTCGGACAACCACCAACCCAGCAAACCACAACTGAAAGGATTGCAAACTGTGATCAGGTGCTTGTCGGGACAAAAAAGCAAAAATAAAAGGAAGAAAAATACATATCCAAGGCTTACAAAGCAGCAGCAGCAGCATTCCATCGGCAGTGCAACAACAATGCACTGGTGAGCCTAAAAAATACCCTGACCCCACCCAAACCCACATCCGACCAACAAACACCTACCTACCCTCATCTGCACGCTTTTCCCTTAAATTTTTTTGCGGGTGAAGCTGCAACAGGTAACCTTGTCCTTGTTGACCACCTTGCGTAATCTCCGGTGGAGGGTATTGTCATGAGCATTAGCAACAGCGTCATTATGCCAACTGTCCTTGTAGTCTCCCAGTCGTCTGTTTCTTGTATTCTTGTTTGCACGCTCATTGCAATCACCATCACCATCTCTTTCTCCAACAGTGTGGATCAGTAAATGGTGGATGAGGCATGCTCACATCCACAGTGGATGGTTGTTAGAACTTGTTACCGATGAGTGAGGCTGGGACCTTGTACTGCTTTGCTCCTTCCCCTCTGGCCTAACTATGCACGTGTCAGATTGGCAATTCCTGGCCCAGCCGCAGACCAGCAGGCAAGGACCATTCCCACCGAGTGTATACTGGTGCCAGTATGGTGAACGAAAACCCTAGAATCATGTGTGAAAATAGGGCTTTTTTTTTTAGCTTTTTTTTTTTTGGGACAAGGCTCCAATCTATTCGTGGGGAGCAGCACGTGGTGGGAGCCGGGCCCAGCCTCCCATATGGGAATTTACCGTACATGCGGTGCATCGCGATGCGCTGCACCGTGCATCGGCACGATGCGCGCGCACTGCATGCGGCGCACCTCTAAAAATGGGGGTCGAAAAGAAAAAAAAAAGTTGTGAGGGGCGATAGTAGACCCGGCCCCCTGCTCGCGTAAAATAAGAAACGGGCAACCAAATTTTTTTTGGAGGCCGCACGTTGGCCTGAAAGCTTTTAGTAAAACCTGTAGTCCGTGTAACACTGTGTATGGTAGGGTTCTTGCAGTCTGTATGGTAGGGTTCTTGCGGGCCAGATTCAGTCATGATGAGGGTCGCGATCTCTCAAAACATTCACTTCTTATTACTTCTGAAGTAGAAAAGGACGGAACTCACAGCTGTTTTTCCTGGAGTCTTTTCATGGTAACTGTCCGGACGTCCGGACCGGGTTCCAGACAGTCCGGTGTCCGGTGTCCGGTCCTTATGTCCAGATGGAGGTCCCTGGTGCAAAAAAAAAAAAAAAAAATGGGGCGGCGTAGGACGTTTATCGGGTCCTGGCCACCCCTCGAAAAATAACGGGTGATTTTTCGGTGTCTTTTCACCCCACCGGACAGGGCCTAGAGGTCCGGACACAAGACACTGCAGGTTTTTGGGGTGGTGGGTTTCACACAGGCCAGAGCAATTTCAAAGCGGCTGTTTCAACGTGGCGCCCGCTGCTGCTGACCGTTGGGGGGTGGGGGAGAGAGAGAGAGGGG